GTCAAAATATCAAATGGCCTGAACGACAACAAAAGGCAAAAATGCCTTGGCCCTCGAACGGACCGAAAAAGTTGAGGACCATTTGAAAGAGAAGTGTCTCTACTCGAAACGTGGGTCATTTTCGAGGAACTGTTTCTTCCCTTCGAGTATCGACTTTCCTAAATGAAGAAGGTAGCTTCAGACGCAAGAAAATTGCAAAACAATATGACAATATAGAAATTACAATTTTTCCGTTTCGGAAGAACGGAAAAGTTGTTAATATTTGTAGCGAAATATTTCATTCGAGGAATGAATCTAAACTCGAGCGTGAAAATGGATTCTTCAGTTAATGTTGTAAAATATCTTGGAACTATCTGTTCTTTGGCAAACAAGTTGTCTGAAGCTGTTGTTCCTAAGTGCAACACTTCTTTAAAAACTCCTATAAAAATTCCATGGACATTTTTTTTTACACGAAAAATATACAAATTCGAACGGAAAAAGTTTCTTTTATAAAGAAAAAGAACCTGTTGATTGCTGATTCAAATTCTTCCATTCAAATATGAATGATACTTTTTGGAACTTGGAATGGTACTCCTTATTCAATTAAAAAATTAGGAATAATCGAAGAATTTGAATTAATATCGAGAATCTGTGACATTTTGCAATGATAAACTTGAGCTTGTTTGAAAGCTCGAAGTCTGTAGTTCATTTCATTCCAAGACGACCACGTAGATGTAAACTAGCAGATAACAAAGTATAATATTATTTTCATCGTTATAATATTCAAATTTCAATAAATTGACGAGAAAAAAATACAGCAAATTTTGCAGAGTTATTGTAAAGGAGAGGTGGTTTCAATTTTCAAGTTCAGCCACGAAAGAATCAGCCCAATTTTACGTTTCTAAATTCAATGTTTCCGATGTTTTTTTTTAGATACCACGACAATTTATAGGTCGAAGCTTTCCCTACGTAAATGTAAAAACATCTTATCGTTCGAATAAAATGAACGACGCATTAAAAGTAGAGCCTTCCAGCTTCGAAATAACTCCAGTTTATTTTTTCGTAGGATTTGTTCTTTTCTCTTCTTTATTTTTTTACGAAATTATAACAGTTTGAATAATTAGTCCACGGAACATTGACGGGTCTCGCTATTTAACACTAAACGTACCGGCATTTTACATATAGCTATCTTACCATAAGGGGTCAACAAATGACCCCTCGCGGTACATAAGGTACAAAGAATTTTTCTCGGTAAAAAAAAGATCCCTCGCGGTACATAAGGTATGCAGAGAATTTTTCTTGGTAAAAAAAATGAAGCTAAGAGAAGAACAGAAAACGAGAAATCGAACAATCAGGTAATATAAGAATTTACAAAAAGTCAGATTAAGCGAAAGAAATAACAACGAATGTACGATTTTAAAGTAAATTTTGAAAAGGGTCATTTGACCCCGCTTGGTACATTTAGTGTTAATTAATTATCTTATCGTTTACTCGACTTCTAATTCCTCGAAGTTGATACATTGATCGACTCTAAATCATTACATTTTAATTATTCAATCATCTACTTTCTGCGTTTCCTGGAATTCTGCATGCATCTGCAATCTTTTCAATCAATTTATATCATCAACTTCCATTTTTTTAAACATTGAGACAATTTTCAAGGAAATTCCAAAGATTCGCTCGATATTTTCTCATCATTACATTTTTATTTGGATTGTACAATTTTAGAAGAATCGAGGTATTTACTACGATAAATCCTCTTATCTCTTAACATGTTCGTGACATATACGGGCATTATTGATACGATCAGCATTATTGAGCTGCTTGTACATGTTAGCAGCAATGTTCGCAATAAACTTTAATACATACTCGTAACAAAATATATTCCATTCTTTATTTTCTTTACTTATTTCCCTTTCGACAACGTAAGTCAGACTAAAAGAATGTGGAAAAACACGTTGCAACATTTAAAATACTAATGGAAGTAAACGGATAGTCAATAAGAATTTGATCGGTTAATGAATTGACTGAATGAATTGATAAGATAAGACTTACCAGCTTGAGCTGCGTTTCCATCGTGATCGCAGAAAACGGGTAGAACGAGGGTTGGCGCGGCGTGATAAGCTGCCTCGTGCAAAGACAAAAGTCCTCCGTGCGAGACGAACGCTCGAAGCTTCGGATGACCGAGCAGCTCTTGTTGCGGCCACCATGCCGCTGTTCTGACGTTCGATGGCAGATCTTTGATCTTCACTCCTTCCCATTTCCACACGACGTTGCACGGAAGCGTGGCAAACACTGCCACGAAGATTTGACGAAGCGCCTCTGGCATGTCTGACGCGCGAACTGACGAGCCCATAGACACGAATATGAAACCTACGGTCATGTATCACGGTTATCGCGATGTACTACTTTGGGAAATTTGACTTGGCCTGAAAATGATCTATTGTCTGATAGACTGATTATCGACAGGCGTGCGCGAAAAGGCAGCAGTTGTGATAAAAGAAGATCACAACGTTACAAAAATCTATATATATATATATATGTACATACATGTAAGCTGTTGAATTTCAAATATTTAAAGAGAAGCAAAAATTTGACATTGATATTTGTTTGTATCGTAAAACATAACTATATTAGGGGGAGGGGGAGAGAGAAAATCTACAAAATCAAAAGTACATTAAAGTACATTGAAGTGTATAAATTGTGGTCTTATTGTTATTATAATTATAATCAGAATGAGCTTTATTTTCATCTTAATACACACATTAATCGTACAATTGTAAGATTGTTTCTTTTTTCGATTTATTTGTACTTTTAAACAAACGTAAGAAACATTAGTCCAATTTTAATTGACAAGTTGATCCACGTTCACAAAATGTCCAAGATTATTCTTCTTCTGTTTGAAACATTAAAAAAATTTAACAAGTGTATATATGTAAACTTCTGTGAACCAAACAAAAAAAAAGACTTCACTTATGTCAATATCAGTACTCATCATTACAAAAATACCAAATCACCTGCTTGTACCAATTATTAGATTTTAAATTGGAGTATTTAGTACGACTACGAAATTGTTTACTATCGATTACCAGATGACTATTTAACAGATCCTTTCGTTACTACTTTAATCTAGTGAAAACGTAAATTCCGCTTGGTACAAGATCTCATCTTTCTCACGCTACGGATTCGTTAAATACCCTTCGACGCATGTTCATTGTCTCTGAGAGATTCAGAAATCTCCCACCTGTCCCGCCACCCCTCCCCTAAGAAACGAACGTAATTTTCTGCTAACGACGTCGGCCAACTTAGAATATCGACTCACCGCGTTGCAAGAAACTCTCCAAATCGGGGCCGAGGTTCGTCGCCGGCTTGCAATGGAGGCACGCGACGTTCACCACGTTGGCCAAGTAAGGAACCGAGTCAGCCACGCTGTAATGACTGTTCTGCAGCGTCAGTGGAATCTCCGTAGTCAGATCTCGTACGTCTGGTAACTGGTCCCCTGGAACGATAAACAAGATTCCTCCGAATAAAGGAAATCATCGTCAATGAAACCGATCTCGGTAGTGAAGGATGCGCATACCTAGATACTTTCTTAGAACCGGTTGAAGGTATCCGTTGATCATGATCCAGTGCATTAGCCTCAAGGTGGCGAGACAGGCTGCATTTAGAATTCTCTGGAGGAAGTTCATGTCCTGGGTCAACGATTTGCCGAAGTACGGTGTGACGGACCATGGTGACGGGTTACCTTGACGACTTATGGATCCACTGTACAATGCCACCTGTATCGAAATGTATATTCAGTATATTAGCCGTTATCGCGTTAGTTTATATTATATTATATTATGTACAGAGGTATAATTATTATGGACTCGATAACAATTAATCTTGACGGAGCACTTAATATTACATCAATAGTTCAAAGTAGTATGAAACTGTAACTGTGGTTTTGTTCAAGTTTAGTTTCGTCTGAACATTTAATTTTCAATTGTCAATATTTTTATTGCCGTTTGCAAAGTCGTATGAAACCTCTCTTACTTATAATTTTGTTCAGATTTTTGACAATATTCAAATTGAAATTGAAACGACTGTGATCGTTCTGATCATTTTTTACATCATTATTGTGTACAATAGGCGGAACTGTATTTATTTTTGCGAAAGATCATTGTACTTTTGTCTTAACAAATATATAATTAATCATATTGGAATTAATTAATTCCTGGGTTTTTTTTTTATATAAAAGCTAATTTTATAAATTATCAAAAACTAGATTGAAACCTCGTTAGTTTTATTTTGACATTTTATCTTCAAATTTAAAATCATTTGTATTTAATGCAAGTTTTAATCAATTGCTCGACGTTCTGTTGATCTTTTTGTTGATCTTCAATGAGTCGAAAGTTTTCAATTAATGACTCTGCACCATTGCATGCAGAATCTTTAATTTTATTCTGACGTGCGTATGCACGTTACGTTTTCTTATTAATATTACTAATATTACTATCAAAAGATAAACAAAAAAAAAAAAAATCTCTTCTGGATGGAAACCCAATACGAACGCAACACAAGATCTTGCGATTTAAATCAGATATTTGTGTTATTGGAGAAAGAATTGCGAGACATTGTTTCTATTTGTACACAGTTACCGTGTTTAGCATGATGGTAGGCACATTCTCTCCATGAAGAATACCTAGAAGGCATTCGGGAAAGGCTCCGTCGACTACCGCGACATCCCATCGTGCATGAAGATTGCCTTCAGGTTTTCTCAGCCAAGATACTGATATTTCGTCGCGAAGAAGTGCTTCACATGCCTCCCAGGCGTATCGCATTGCATCCCACGGGGAGATAGGCATTTCATCTCGGAATCTCGCACCAACCAGATCCCATTCTGACGTGTAATTGCCGACATAAGCCTGTCAATAACGAAACACACTTTAAATACCAGCTTTCTTATATAAGAAAATAATCTTATTACCGCTTTTTTGTAATGAGTTCCTCCCACTATACGCACTCGATGGTATACGCGCACGTTACTCTAAATAACCATTATGAAACGTAATCTTCCTCGAGGGTTCAAAATGGAAGACCCGGAAATTAAACCATACAGAGATCATATGTGATGCTCGTATAAAATTACTGCCGTTGATAACACACTGACGGGGAAAAAAACTCGCTCATTATGTTGCTTTAACATTTCATTTGCAATCCTCCATTTGAACCCAATTTGTGTTACCGAATTTTACTTTTTATCGTTGAAGGGAAGACGAAGAGAAATTTCAAGAACTCGCTCAATATTTTCGAATGACTTCATAGTTTAATGAAATTCAAGTATTTCTAATGTCACGGCGAATTATATCTGGTTTTTTTAATGAGTTATTTCTCTTCGGGTCTATACGATATTGTTAAAATATTTAGTTTTGGTGTTTGATACAATTTTATTAACATTTGTGTATTTTGTCAACAGAGTCTGTTCCAAAGAAAGAAGATATTTGAAGAGATACAAACGTGGAAAAGAGGTGAAGGTTCATGTAAGTACCTGTTACTTCGTTTATATCGTCCAAACTTTTCGATGCAGACATTTTTATATAGTGACATTCTTGGAATGTGATTCAATGCATATTACGTATGAAATTGGTTCATAGATACGACAAATGTGAAAAAGTAAATAATTTCTTCTAAAACTCTGTCAACTAAATTTTTTATCATTTAAGCTATGTATACATTGAATTGCAATTATATTACAATCAACGTGACTGAGATAACATATTTTGTGCAATAAGAAGATAGTTATTAATAATCGTACAGAAATATTTAACTTGTTTGGAACACCCTTTACCTTTCTTTCTACACTTCCTACATTTTTCTGAGCAACGAGAGTATTATGTTTATAACTTTGATCTTCAAATACAATTAATAAAAATGTCATCAAGTATAGGGAAATAATTTTATAAGTAAAATATAAAATATAAATTATTTCTTTTGAAATTCCGACATGCTTTAAATTCTCTCGAATAAATGTTTAAATTCTCGTTTCATTGCCAATTACAGTATTCAGTTGTCCATCATATTCAAAATGCATAGCTACTCCGCGGCGAAAATAATTATTCCGCTTTCGCGTTACTCGTCGTCAGTGGAAACGGAGTTTGCATTTGAAATCGGAGAGAATCTCTCTCTTTATAACCACGGCCACGATGACCACCGAATTCCCCGAACCTCTCGACTTCTGTTTCTCCGATCTATAATTTACTGGCAGGCTGTTTGCTCGCGCTATAAACTCGAATCAATTTGCATCCCGCCCCTTTTGCACGCCCTCGCACTACACCCGGCACGCGCTCCATTCTCATAATCAAATAAACGCCGCTGTTAACTTATAGCTTACGTATCTAGAAGAGTTAGCGCATATTCAGAAATATATATTCCCTGTCACTCTTTTCTGTCTAAGGGCTTCTCCATCGAATTTGTCTCTCGTAATTGAATCGAACGAGGGCACCGAGGATTCAAGGATCCTCGATATCCTCGATATGGATCATATTAACTTCAAAGCTGTGGTGGCTACCTGTCTATTATCTCGACTTACAATTAGTTTGCTCGGGCAACAGTTTGAAGTATTTGCGAAGCTGGAAGGCAGCTAATTGTGTAGAAGATGGATAGAACGAGCTTCGTTACTTACTACATTAATTATCTACCACGGCGGAGGAAAGAAAATTTAAGAGATAAATGTACAAAAGGGCATGGCAGATTCGTAGAATTACATTTGACAGAGATAATCAAAAACTGTACTTTAATAGTACAAAGTAGTACAAAGTGATAACTAAGAGTTTTATGTATATTATAAACATCTTGAAGAAGTGTAACACATCTTGTCAGGTTATAATTTACTATATTCACCCATTTCTGTCTTACCAAACAAAAATTTTTAATATGAAATTGGACGTCTAATTTTTAGAAAAAAGACTCAGAAAGAATAGAGAGATAAATTAAAAAGCAAAAGAGAAAATAATTAGAAGCCTACGTATATGTATATAACGATTACAGAAGACAGAAGTCAGAAGTCTATATACTTTTGTCAAATCTCAAGTATTTAAAGTAGAAACAAGTATTGCAATTAATATTTTATTTATTTTACGTTATTAACGTTGTGTGTAAGAAGTAACAATGTTTCTTACATTTGTTCGCCAGAGATAAATTATAACAAAATATTACTTTGTAATATCCGATTTATCCACACGCTCTTCTAAACAAATATAAGAAGCATTGTCAATATTTTAGTCAGTATTTCATCTACTGTTTTTAACTAACGGATTACCATCCACGAAACATGCATATTTCGTTCCCTTTTTTTTTTCTTTCTTGTTTCGAATGTTTTTTCAGACTTTGTTGACCGTCGGTACACGGTAAATTATTATTTTTTCACGACAAAACGAAGTCATAATCTCAGTCTGTGATTTACTTCGAATGAAAGAACTTTTATCGCGTCATGCTCCCTTGGACGTTCGTTCCCTCGAATCCTCTAAAGGAAAGCTTAAAAAAGGATAATTACCTCGAAGATGGGCGGAACAAACTCTTGTAACCCGTTGTTGGCAGCTGGACCTGGAAACGCGCTTAAAAGAGTCACGTTGTGTCCTCGTGCCTTCAAACTGCTACCCAGCGCCACAAATGGTACCGTGTGCGACTTTGTACCACCCATAGTAGCCAACAGAATATTATATCCCATCGTAGAATTACAGACTAGCAAGATAACAAAGGGAATTACCACTCGATCTATTGAATTAGCCATCTTTAATTTTACAAGCATCTTCAATGTTGCTGGATTCTCTTTCTTCGAACTTTCTTGGCTCCTCGGAACCTTAATTTGTTAATACGCCTGTTGTTCTATGGATCTTATATTGAATTATAGTACACGTGCTTGTTTGAAGAAACTTTTGACGTCGGAAACGATATCATCGTCGAAGCACCATCAAGCTGTTCAAGTTTCCTCCGCAAACTCTCCTTTCACGATAATTCGAGATATTTTTTCTACTTTACTTTACTTCATACTTTCTGTTCAATGTAGTTCCTTGGATTCTTCGAACTTTTTGTCTTGATTCTTCTCTATGAATTTGTGCTTGCAACTTGCAACGTTAATGTTTCGACATTTCCTCGCACTATTTGTAGCAATTGTAATATTATTTATCTCACACTATTCCCACTATATTTTCTCAATTTAATTTTTTAGATTCTTCAGAATTTTTACCCAAGTTCTCTCTACGAATTATTATCACTTGCTATTCTAATATTTTACAATTTGTGTCTCCGATATATGTCTTCTCTATTTTCTCAACTTGAGTTTTGGAAATGTTAATGTTTTTCCTTACTCAGAACCTTTTACAATCACGAAATTAAAAATTGATAATAATAAGAAAAATATTATTGTGCCAAAGAAAATTGATGATTGATCGAGTGACGAGTTAATTCTTCTAGCCCAGTTAATTGTATTTTTCTATTTCTGTAATGTAAATCTCTGGAATCTAATTCTCTAAAGTTCTTTCATAAAATTATTTTACACTGCAATTAATACTTTAACATATTACTATTAACATTTTCCAAATTTAATATCCTTAATATTTCAATATTTCAATTACTATATTTCTCTTATAAAATTCTTCCTTTTGTAAAAGTTTCCCACTTGCAAGTGATATTTTGATATCTCACTCTTTAAATTTAATATTTCAATAACCTCTGCCTCACTGTCCTCGTGTTGTAGTTTTACTCCACTATATTTCTTGCACTGTTTTTTTTTATTTTTTTTTTTTTGAATTTCTTAAACTCTTCCCAAGTCTGCCCAATCTGCCGCCATCCGGTGACACTGCCCCCGATGTCTGTATCTTCTCTTTGATTGAATTTCACAAATTCCTTCAAAGTTCTGTCTCGGAGTACCGATTTACACACCTCGAGTCGCTGAATAAGTATACGCGGCTCGTCAAAGCGCGAGGATTAGGGAGGCAGTCCGATCCATTATCATTGTAATGGCAGGTTGACGAGAAAGAAGAAACGACCATTGATCGTTAAACGGACGATCATCGAGAGAGAAGGAGGAAGAGAGACCATTGAAAGAGGCGGCTTTCCTTCGGTCAAATGCGTCCATGGAATTTGGCTATCCCTTCGTCATTTTTACGCGAGATCGTCAAGCATGACCGATTACATTCGTCTCCGTGGCTCTTTGTCTCGATTTCGGACTCTGAAACGACAGAAAAACAACGAGAGATTTATTTGTTCCGTGTGGCACGAATTACGCAGCACACTTCTTACGCGTTTTACCATTTCAAAAGTGTAAAGTAAAGTGTAAACTCTTGTTATTTTCTTTGTGGCAACTTTGTTCTCCGTTCCTTCGTTCAAAATGTTCAAAATGTTGCCTCGTAACAGTTTCGTACGGTACGAAATTTATTTGAAAAGTAAAGGACACGGAGAGGTTGGAGTGTTTTAAATATTACATTGGATGTGCGTGCTTGGTCAAGAGTACTTGGGCTATTCTTCAGTTTTCGGATGGAATACATTTCTCTCTACAGTTTGTAGTTTCGTAACTTTGATCTAAAAAGATGATACCGCGAATGAAATATTTGTTCTTCAATTTTTGAGCAAGAGACTGAAAAAAAATGCTGAAAATCTGTTTTGATTTGAAATATACTCCGAAATTTCTACGCTTTCCGAGGTATAGAAGTTTTAATAATTTTCTAGTAATTTGTCTGTTATGTTAGTTTAAATGAACTATTCCGACCTTTTCTTTCTCTCTGTTTTAGTTAACTAGAAACTACAGTTCATCACACTACACGATTCGAATGGGACCTAGTTTCGATAATTAGTATTCTACTTCGATCTTCTTTGAAATTCCAAATGGTCTAACTATTCTTTTCTCTTCCTAACAATCACCTGCGGTATTCAATGAAATGTTCAGTGTTTGGTACTTTCAATTCTTCCAATGACATTGTCACGACTGAGTTTTTATTGCAAATTATGTTCCACAATGTGCCTAAAATATAAAATACTATTACGCAAACTTTAAATATATTTAAACAAGTTTCGTAGATTTTATTGATATTTCCTATATAGCAAATGAATCGTAATTTTTTTCAAAATCTGCACACTTGAAATTAAAATGATACTTCAAAATCCTTATTTTTCATATAATTCTCTTGATTATCTTACAGATCAAACAGAACGGTGACAGCTATGCAGATTATGATAAATATTCCGTATATAAAAAATAATTTGTCATCAAAAAATAAGAGTTTTCTTATTCTGACAAATAAAAATGATGCTTTCAGGTTTGTCGAAATTCGACCGAAACCACGGTGAATTTTTCTGTTGTGTACAATCATAAAAATTCAGAATACTCTCGAAAATGACCAGGCCGCCGCGTTCCATCGCCATCTAAATTCATCTTTGATTCCTTCGGCGGAACTTCGTTTTCCCGTGATTGCACGATTGAACTTTCGATCCTCCCGAGAGTCACCACGGCTATATCGCGATCGTTGAAAAGGTTGTCCATCCGTTCGAGGCTCGCAGAAAGGATTTAACGTGCCGTTTTATCCGGTAAAACGTTGCCGCGCCGTTCGTATCGGGGAAATGGGTGAAATCGAGCGATTCGGTTTTCGTGGACCGTCAAAGAAGAACCGTCGAAAGGATAAGAAAGAGTCGGCCGAAAGGAGGAGAGGGATAAGAGGGAGAGGAGAGCCAGGATCAGGAGATACCGTCTCTCGAGAGATCGTATTGTCGGTCTCTCGAACGAACGGCGCACTTGAAACTCGCGTTATTAGTGAAAGTCTCGGGCGTCGTTCGAATATCGTTGAAGGTTAAATTCACGTGGTGTTCTCACGACGGTACGTGAAAGGCTGAGAGGTCGCTGCGAGGGTTCGGCCCGGACGATCTTTCCCTCAAACTTTGCTCGATATCGTGCAGCAAATTATCGTATTACTCGTTGATTCGTGAGAAACGTTTGAAAATGATTCGAAGGATTCGAAAGTGCGTAAACGAATTGATCGTTCTTCGTTTTCAGGCTGATGCTAATAATACTTTAGCCAACGAGCAATGTTTGTTTATAATAGAAGAAACACCTTTTGTTGAAAGGTAAAAAGTAAAATGTAAAGAAAAAGGGATGGATGGAAGGAACTTTGGAAAAACACGAGGTAATTCATAATTTTATAAAATCACGTTATGATGGCTCTAAAAAAAGTATTTGCACACACACACACACACACACACACATAACATTACATTTTTACAACCATGCAATTATTTTGGAAATACTATTGAATAGTACGGAAAATTAAGCAACAGTGTGCAAATACTTTTTGTCTCTGTGTTACTTAACGAGAGCAACGAACAAACGTGACGAGATAAAATATAACGCGGAATTAATGTTAAGTAGAGTTACGTATTGCAATTTTCACTTGATTTAGAGGAGAAAGTATGAATGAACTGCAACAAAAGTAGTTAACGAGAAGGAGAATTACATCGTGTTTACAGATTCCGTGAATAAAGTTGTTTCGCAGTAAAGTTAGTTACATGATGCAGAGATTTGTGAAATGAAGAATATTCTCTGAATATTATTTTTTTTTTTTTTCTGCGGTGTTGAGCTTCGTGAGTTCAATCAATTGTTTGGAACGATCGAATCGAATTATTCATAATTTCGAGGATACATATTAAATCGAATGTAAAAATCTGCGTTGTTTCAATG